TTTTTTTTTTTTTTTTTTTTCTCGAGACAGGGTTTCTCTGTGTAGCTTTGTACCTTTCCTGGAACTCACTTGGTAGCCCAGGTTGGCCTCGAACTCACAGAGATCCACCTGCCTCTGCCTCACAAATGCTGGGATTAAAGGCGTGTGCCACCACCGCCTAGCTGCTTTTTTTTTTTTTTAATGATCCAGTCAAGCAATATTTTCTCACAGCTTTATGTAAATATCATTCTGCTTTCCAGGCACTTCCAGGGGCTCATACCCGCTCACTCATTCCATGAACCCTCAAGTGTACCCTCGACATTACCATGGCTGCTACGGAGACATCATGACCATAGAGACTTTTGGGGCCCCCTGTGACATAAACAATCTGATGAACTGTGGTAAGTACAAAATAGAGCAGGGTCTTGCCCACCATCCCCATGATCATTTTGCAGAGTTTTTCTTAGGAGGTAACTAGTTTTGAAAAGGAGCCAACGCTACAGTAACAATCATGAACCAAAATTAAAAGTTAAGAAAAATAAGCTGGGTATGGTGGTGCACACTTTAATCCCGACTCTCCCGAGGCAGAAGAAAATGGATCTGAGGCTATACTCTATATTTCGAGTTCTAGGCCAAGCAGGGAGATCCTGTCTTAAAAAGAAAAACAGAAAGTTAAAAAAAAAAAACAAACCACAAAACCAAAAACAAAACAAAAGAAAAAAAAGACGCCCTAGTCAACCTAATAAACCACTTCATTTTTCTCTCCCTGATTCGTTTCAAACTGTGTCCAGGTGTGTTGATTTCCACATAACGAAACCGTTCCTTTTAAAAAAGGTTCAATTCTGGCTTTGTTCTGCTTGGTTTATGCTGTAGCATGCGTACTCTGAGTAAGCAGTCTCTTGGTCTCCACACTTCTCTCCTTTGCTATCCCATTCCAAAATCTTCCTCATGCAAGGTCACATATAAGCCCATGTTCTTAATGTACGGACCAGAGGCTCAGCAAGGAGTCGCATCCTCTGGCACAGAACTAGACAGTTGCAGAGCCATGGACTCCTAGTCTTCTGATGCACCATCCTGGCAGGAGGCAGAGGGAGAAGCTGGTGCAGCGGCTACAGCAGGAGTTGGTGGACCTGCCTGGGTTTCTGCAGTTAGAGGTCTGAAGGCCGTCTTAGAACAATTGTCCTGAGCTGCTGGTGTGGTCAGAAGCTGAGGCTAAATTGGTTAACTCTGAGAACCTGTTCTTTCCTGGAGTAGAGGAAATGGTTTCTTTTCTATCAACATAGGGATCCACGGTTCGGAAATGTTTGCCGAGATGGATTTGAAAGCCATAAAGCCTTACCGTATCCTCATCAAAGAAGTGGGACAGAGATACTGCATCGACCCAGCGATCATCGCAGCCATCATCTCCAGAGAAAGCCATGGTGGAGTTGTCCTGCAAAATGGCTGGGATCATAGAGGACAAAGATTTGGCTTGATGCAGGTACATAGCCAGAGACTTTCCATCAACCTAACTTTACCTCTCCTCGCAGAAGCTCAGCCCAAACTCAAAGTCCATTCCAGGACCGGAACACCCAAGTGTCTGGGCATAGGGGCTTCAGGAGATTTTGCTCTGTGACATATCTGTGGTGTTTCATTCAAATTTTAGCAGTCATTGGGCATTACTTTAAAATGTTTCCTTATGTCATGACTACAATGTATCAACTATACCATATCTATAGCTACTATAAACAACATGAACTATACTTCAATTAGGAAAATTTTATAAAGGTTACTATTAACCTTTACAAAATAATAAAATAATAATTAATAATAATAATAATTTGTCCTGTTGGGGCTCCTGAAGTAGTAAAATTCATGAACACAAATTGAAAAACTATAATTAAGCCCTGATTTAACTACCCTTGTTCCTTTGGATTAACTGGAGCCTAACTATTTAGATGCTTGTTTCAGGCCTTTTATTTGTTGGTTTTGAGGCAGCATTTCACTCTGTAACTCTGGCCAACCTGAAACTTGCTTCGTAGCCCATGCTGGCCTGGAACTGGTGGTGGTCCTCCTGCCTCTGCCTCTTTAGTGCTGGGGTTATCTGTATCACCAAGCCTGGCTATATATTTGTTTATATTTTATTTGAATTAGTTGCATAGTGATTTTCATCGTGAACGTCTAGAGGTTGGATATTATTTGTCTTGAAACATTTTTTCCTTCTCACCCTCTTCCTTCTTCCTCTTTTTGCCTATCAGAAAGCACCTAGTGAGTGTCTCCCAAACTGGTCTTTCTCTGACTCTCTAGTCCTTGAAAGACAAGACATTAGAATATAGATTTTTGTGGATCAAAGGAAAGATGCTGAAGCCAGTGTTTGAACTTAAATACAAAGGGAGACCTAGGAACAGCAGAAAGTGTGCCACCTTGCTCAGATACTGACATGATTGAATTTTCTAGCTTGATAAAGCGCACCATCCTATTGGTACCTGGGACAGCAAAGAACACCTTCTACAGTCCGTTGGGATTCTAACAGAAAAAATTAAGGCAATCCAGAGAAAGTTTCCCACATGGAATCCTGTTCAGCACCTCAAAGGTAGGTCCTATGCCTACTGCTTTATTTAAATGAGCCATGAATGAGACTACAAAAAGTGACTGCCCCAGGCCTCCTGGAGGCATCCCCACTGGCTTGGCTGGGAGACAGCCCGTCTAAAGAATGCTTCAGCATCCTCTGAGCCATGCGTGACTTCACATCCTTCCCCCTCCTGCAAGATGTCAGGTTTCTTATTGTACTTCTGGTCAACTGTTAAGCCACTGAATGACACCTAAGCATTAACACGATAGTTAAAAACAGGGTTTGCCTTTTCATAGCTTTTCCCCCTGATCCAACACTATCTTAAACTATTTTCCAAACTGTTTGAATAAACTTTTACTCTGAGAAATGTCACAGCTTCAGTTACCCCAAGAAGTCTAAGGGAAACTTTTGTTTGGCTGAACTCAGAGCCCCTCAAGTCCAGCAGCTCCCAGATGGAAATAACTTACTAAACCCATCACCATATATTTTTTTTTTTTTTTTTTGTCTTTGGAGACACTGGTGTAACCAGTTATCATAGCAGAAATCTTTTTTTTTTTTTTTTTTTTTTTTTTTTGGACTCACTTGCTTTTGCTTTCTGCCCATCCACCAATTCCTCAGTGTGCCTCTTATGGGATCATGAGTTGTATATTTACATGTATTTCCACACTCTAACAGTATGAACTCTGAGCAAAGTTTTCTATTTTTATCTCAAGGTCCCCAAAGGCAGGAAGGAGAATATCAGCATAAAGCACAATTCTTTTAAATATGTTAATAATGATCGAAGATGAACTTCTAGGGTAAAATAGCGCATGCATGTACACAAGCCCCCATGGAAAATGAATAGTAGTACATCTTGAGTACTTTGCACTCAGTGAGGAGTCTTTTCTGGCACACAATTAATTAATGAGTGAATGAATGAGTGAGTTGTTGAATAAATGAGAAAATGTCACAATCTTGTATTAGTTCTGTCAAATCTGGGCTGTGTAAAGAGAAAACAGAAACCTTATTACTCTGAAATATTTGCCTGGAGGGTGGTGAGTTGATGTCCTGGAGGCCTGTGTCTCTTTTCTGCTGACAGCTAATATTGTATTCTAAACCTGTGTGTTTCGTTTCAGGTGGTCTGACTGCTTTTAAGTCAGGAATGGGAACCATTGTCACTCCTGAAGACATAGAAGTTGACTTAGTCGATGATGTTATTGCCCGCGCCAAATTCTATAAAAGACATGGCTTCTAGGTCACTGACGAGGTACTCAACCGGCCCCTCTTTCAAGTTTGATATTGGCTCACTGCACTCAACAGGAACAAAGAAATGGTTACAATTATGAAAGAAAGTTCATCTCCAAACATTTTAATAAAAGTAAGCAAAAGAAAGAAAGGAAAGAAGGAAAAGAAGTGGTGATGTAGTTTAGTTGGCTGAGCTCTCACCTAGCATGTGCAAGACTCTAGGTTCCATCTTTATCACAAAGGAAAAAACACCCATTCACATACGGTTCCTAGGAAATATACATAGACATACTTGTAGTTTCTTTGTGGTCAGTATGAACATCAGGGCACATGGCATGGGCATGTTCTAGCCAAGCTTTATTTTAGCCTATGATTTGAATGATCACTTATACCCTGTCTACCAGAATTACAAATAAGAAGTGAGCCTTTATGCCTTTCCCAGTATCTGCCCCAATTGCTAGGACTCTGATCATGAGATGTGTCTGTCTCAGAGGCCAGATCCTGGGGCAATAGATGGAGAGATGATGGGTGTTGGTTGTGACTTTTGGTTGCCTCAAGAGAGGACACAATAATGTGTTGGATTGTAAAGCTTTCGGTATCCCTGCCAAGTGACTCCTCATGGGTTTTTGGTTCTTGTTGGAGACATTTAGTGGACACTTTATGCCTGTCCCTTCTCTCTCTGAGAAGGAACCAGAATTTTACTATCCATCCTTTAGCCACTTTGGAAAGAGCCAGATAGACCATTCTCTGCCCAAAGACCACCCAATCCAGCCTGAAGAAGGGGCCAAATGAGAGCTGGAATCATTGTTTTTGAGATAAGGTCTCAGTCTGTATCCCAAGCTGCCCTCAAACCTACAGAACCTCCTGCCTCGGCTTCTCAAATTCTGGTATCATAAGTGTGGGCCATCATGCCTCTGGGTAATCATCTCTTAGGGTTTGACAAAGCCCAAGCTTTAGCAGCAGTGAAATAGTTTTGTTCTCACCCCTGCACGTGTTCAGTCTGAGGTGTTCTGCAGATGTCCATGCTGCTCTTTTAGTTCTTTTTCCCCTGGAAGCATCGATTTCATTTCAATGCCAGCCCCTTTGATGTCGCTATTGCAGAGATAGCTAATGTGTAGGCCAGATAAGCTTCAAATAATTTATGAAACACGAAATAATACACTGGCTTACACCATGAGTCTATTTCCCCAGGGTTCTTGTTCTGACAGACACACTCGGAGATGTCCTGGAGAGTGCCACATATTAAACGTGTCTTGGTTTGGTTCCCTCAGAGCCAGACCTGTGACAAAAATGTGGGTGCAAATAGTTTATGGGGGGGGGCACAGAAAAGTTATAAAGTGGTTCAGTGATATGGGATGAGAAAATAGAAAACATGCGTCGCCAATCCAACTACCCTAGTGAGCAATGGGACTCAACCTTGCAGGAAAGCAATGTGGAACTGTGCAGAGCATTCACCTCAGAATCATCTGCCTGCACTGGTGCAGGGCTGGAGTCTCTGAAAGCCACTGGGTGAGGTGTCTGTCTGTACAGGGAGGGTAGTATAGACCCTTGCTAGTCCGATCTGCTAAACAAGCACAAATTTGTTCAAATTTCCAAGAGTGAGGAGTTGCAGGCACAAACAGGAACATCAAAGGAGGATTCTGAAAGGTTCGGGGACATGGAAGGTACTGACAGAGTCTGCTCCCTACAGGGCACGTTGTTCCAGTGCTTCCTGTTTGCATCTCTGACTGAATAGCATGTTGCAAATAATCTGGAAAGAATACACATGTCTATTATGCCTCCTGGTTTCTGTGCTGGGCTTCTGCAAGATCTATTAGAATGAATTAGACACAATCGAGCTATCTCAGTCTCCTTCTGTCTTGTGACTGTAGACCAATAGTGAATTCCCAGGAATTTACCGAGAACAATGCCAAAGATGTACACCCCAAAACATGCCACCATTAAATTTTCTTGTGTCTTTATCCATCTCCATTTTCTTTATATTTGTTGCCTGTCTTCCTCTTTTTTTTTTTTTTTTTTTTTCCCCGAGACAGGGTTTCTCTGTGTAGCTTTGCGCCTTTCCTGGAGCTCACTTGGTAGCCCAGGCTGGCCTTGAACTGACGGAGATGCGCCTGGCTCTGCCTCCCAAGTGCTGGGATAAAAGGCGTGCGCCACCACCGCCCAGCTGCCTGTGTTCCTCTTAGAGATAATGATTATGAGTCAGGTTTCTCATTGTAAAGTTTACTTTTCACTTTTAAAAATTTCTCCAAATTGGGGTGAATAGAGTTGCTGTAGTTTGGATCTGGAGTGCCACCCCCAAAGCCTACGTTAAATGCTTGGTCCCAACCTGGCATCAACAGGAGGAGGTGGAATCTTTGAGAGGTGGGGCCTACTGAGAGATCTAGCCATGGAGCATATACCCTAGAAGAAGATATCAAGCCCCAGTCCCTCTTTTCCCCTCCCATTCATTTCCAACCGCCATGAGGTCAGCAGCTCTGCTCCCTCTTACATTCCCTGCCATATGTTGCTTTGGTAAAGCTTTATTTGTTTTCTTTGATGCACCATCTGATATAAGTGTTTTTGAGAAATGCTCTTGCTAGGCAGCCCAGGCTGGCCTCAGACTCAAGTCTTTAGCCTCAGTCTCCCCAGCGCTGGGATTACAGGTATGCACTATCATACTTATCAAACGAACACAGAAACATACCCATCTGCATTTTTCTGTAATTACCGAGCTTAAAGATGACTACCTTTATCAGACTGACAATTTTTTCCACACAAGGAAGCTAGCAAACCAGAATATGAAGAATTTAATGCCTAAGACCACTTATCTCATATATTAATAATTTCAAGGTAGTAAAAATAGACAGAAATAATACACAGATCAGTCCTCAGTTTGATGATTGCCATTTGAGGGATAACCTTTTTTTTTATTTAGTGACCAGTGTTTCATATCTGACTCTTCGTCTTGTTTTTTGAGACAAGGTTTCTTTCTCTGCGTAGTCCTGGCTGTTGTGGAACTCGATCTGTAGACCAGACTGGCCTTGAACTCATAGAGATCTGCCTGCCTCTTCTTCCCATGTGCTGGGCATGTGCCACTCCCCCCCCCCCCCCCCGCTACTTTTTATCTGACTCTTATTTGGAAATAGTCAGATGGTTACTAGACGCCAGACCAAACCTCTGGCCAGACAAACACAGACCACAGCAGATAAATCCAAATGAAGCAATCCTTAGAGTCAGGAAGTAAGGACTAAGGAACCAGTCCTTACAAGGTTTTGAGACCATGTGAAGCAGTGGAACCTCAATGTGAAGAGCTCATCACCCACACGGCCCTTGGGGTAGACTACAGGATGGACTCGTTTCAATGATAGACTGTGAGGAGCCATAGCTCCTGCCTCCTCCAAGCCAGGCATGTAACTCCTCTCTTCCTTGGGAGGGGACAAGAGGACTGTAAATGCTCAGTCTTGCTTTACGTGCTCATCAAGTGCTGATTTTGAAGAGGTGACTTTCCATCAGTTCTACAATCACACAGAAGTGAATTCTGCCAATAAGCTCAGAGACTGGAAGCAGGTCCCTGCTCAGTCTGCACTGAGAACCTGACGTTAGCAGGAACTAATATTTAGAGTAGCTCTGTGAAACTCTAAGGCAGTGGTTCTCAACCTGTGGGTCACAATCCCTTTGAGAGGTAAAAGATCCTTTCACAGGGGTTGCCTAAGACCACCGGAAAACACAGATATTTTTGATTTGTAACAGTAGCAAAATTACAGTTATAAGGTAGCCATGAAAGTAATTCTCTGGTGGGGGTCACACACCACGAGGAACTGTACTGACGGGCCGTGGCCTTAGGAGGGCTGAGGACCACTGCTCTAAGCGGTCCACCCAGCTACGCTCTCACCACATTTCTGACTCATGGGAACCACGAGGTCGCAAGTGTTTTGAGCGGATTTGCTTAGGAAACAACAGAGAGCGACTACAGCAGCCTATGCTCTGGACTGTTTCTTCAAACATTTTCATCTCTAAATATTCAACTGAACAACCCTTCTAGTTGTGGGCTGTTGAATTTAAGGTTATTATTCCAACTGTAACTCTTTAGACAAAACAAACAAAAACAGAAATCGAAAAAAGCAACGTAGTTTCTCCTGATCTCCATATTAACATTAATACCAGAGGGACGACACAGATATTTTCAAGCCCACTGTAGGCAGGGACGTTTTGTTGCAGTATTCAGGCAGGTCTCTCTCCAACTAGATAGCATTTAAATAAGTCTTTGAACTCCTATTTCCTCCAGGCTATACACATACTAGACAATCAATAATTGTAGAATTAAAATTACAATTGCCTTTGGGCTCATTAATAAATAAAACCGGTTTCATGTCTATTGTTAAAGTAATACTTTTGCCTTAATGCAGTACTTAACATTAAGACCTGTGACAGAACACTATAACAAATGTGTATGTAAATATTGATGTGACCTCAGCCGAACCCTAAATCGGGAATCCATGGAAGTCTGGGATCCAGAATTTATTAAGGGATGAAATGTAAATAACAGACTCATGAATACAGAATGAAGCGGAGCTGCTGCCTCTTCGTCCACCAGAGGATGTGGAAAGCTCCGGACCAGGTCACCGAGCCGTGGTGTGGCATCAGGAAACCTTCTATATCCAAGAGAGCGCCCGAACTTTCTCCTCAGTTCTTTTTGTTTGTTTGATTTTTGAGACAGGGTGTCTCTATGTAGTTTTGATGCCTGTCCTGGAACTCACTCTGTAGACTAGGCTGGCCTTGAACTCACAGAGATCCACCTGGCTCTACCTCCCGAGTGTTGGGATTAAAGGCGTGCGCCACCGCTACCCGACTCGCTCCTCAGTTCTTATCCAGTCATGTACCCAGAGAAGACCACACCCATAGGACTAGTTACACCAACACCAATTGGGTAAGAGAATTGAATTCCTACAACATTTTCCCTTTTTTGTCTAATTAAGAAGGTTCTAATCCTAATATAAAACTATATATAATAAGGACGATTATCAAGTATTGTCCAGAGGAAAGAAAAGGTAACAACATAAACAAAAGGGAACTACAACCAACAAGAACAACATCAAGCAAGAAACACATTCTAGATGTCCAGACCATGGCTAACTGGCAAATTACAGAGACTACTCAAATAGTTGTCCTATCCTGAAGAGTCCAGGTCCTGCGCCTAATATGCCCTTAGCTAAGATTCAAGGGGATTGTAACTGTAACCATCTAGTCTTCAACCCCATCAAAGACCTGAGAAGGAAAATAACATTACCTGAGTGAACAGGAAG